CACTTACATTTCAGTTCTTTCTGTACCGTGGGTATCAGCCCCTTGTCTACTGTGTAATTGGTGGAGATTTTTCCCAGCAGTAGGCTGCCTTTTTAGTTTAGCAAAGTGGTTCTCAACCTGCAGGTCATGACCCATTTGGGGGTTGCATATCAGGTATCCTGCATTTCAGATATTCACAGTAGCAAAATTATAGTTATGAAATAGGAACAAAATAGTTTTATGCTTGTAGGTCACCACAATGTGAGAAATTGCATTAGGAAGGGTGGGAACCACTGTTCTGTAGATATATGTTTAGTTCATTTGATCTTCATTGACTTTTAAAGTTTTTTGTTTTGTTTGGATGATCTATGTAAAAATGAGAGTGGGTTATTGAAATCATTCACTTGGGAGAATGAGTCAGCGGGATTGCCATGAGTTTGAGGCCAGTTTGGTTTACAAAGTGAGTTCCATTTAGGGCTTTAGAATGAAACTTTGCAAAAAAAAAAAAAAAAAAAAAAAAAGGAAAAAAAAGTATAAATAGCAAATGAACGAGACAAGGGAAACGAAGAGGAAACAAGGTTAAAGCAAGGTTAAATACACAAAAGGTAAAAGAGTGGAAAAGACTGTTATCGAGGGAAAATAAAAGAGAAGGAGATGCCAAAAGTTTTAAATGAACAAAACAAAAACATTCCTAATAATGAGAACATTTGAAAGCAAAATTAGATAAGTGTATAGAGAATAAAATATAAAAATATAAGTTTGAAATAGGATAAAAAGAATTTAAAAACTAATAAACACTTAGTAGAGGGGGGAGTGGAAACACAAGAAGGGGTGGGGGGAAGGAAAAGATTGCCCAGTAATGAAAAATACTGCAGAAACCAATTTTCATATATGAAGAACAATTTTTAAAATTCTGGGGACCGGAGAGATGGTTAAGAGTGGCTGCTCTTGCAGAGGACGTAGGTTTTAAGTCCTAGCATGGCAGTTCACAACTGTCTGTAACCACAGTTTCAGGGGTCCATTGCTCTTTTCTTGGCCTCGACAGGCACCAGACAGGCATGTGATAGACATGCACATCTGCAGACATGACACTAATATAAGTAAAATAAAACAATCAGATCTTAAATGCTAACAATGTATAATGAAGGGGCTGGAGAGATGGTCAGTGAGCCACTTGCTGCTCTTACAGAGGACCCGATTCTGGTACCCAACACCCAACTGCAAGCTCACAACCACCTGTAACTCCAATTCCAAGGTATCTGACACCCTTCCTGACCTTCATGGGCACCAGAAAGACACACGATACACATATGTACATGCAGGTAAACATCCATATACATACATAAATGAAAACATTTAAACATGACAAAGGAAAAATACGCCGAACTGTAGGGGGTTTTGTTTGCTTTTTAAAGTGAAATGTCAGAGCAGTTCATTCTGGTTACTCAAAAATTGGAGACTGCATTTTGTGCATGGGCAGGTGGGGACCGTCAGCTGGACTTGGGGGACTCTTTATTTTCCTGTGGTTTATGCTGTTGCTGTGTCTGTATTGGGCAAGTGCCCAATGTCTGCTCAAGCTGTCTTCATTTTAAAAGGGTCTCTTCTTTGTCTACCAGGAACCTCTGCTGGCCTCACTTAGCTTTGCAGTGTTGACAGTGTAGGCTCTCCTACCCTCCTAAGTCTGGACCTGTCAGGGTGACAAAGTGCAATGGGACTGTGGTAAGCAACCTGAGCACTGAGGTAGCAGAGGGCCTCTCTTTGTATTTTAAAATCCTCCTAAGTAGTAATTACCCTGCTGGAGAGATGCACTTCATAGTAGTTCTCAGGCTCTACAGCAGGGAATACAAATAGGTAGCCCCAGAGGTTGATAGATCCTGCTGACCTGAGACTTGGGGCTGGCTATAAACTCTAATATTCCTCTAAGTGGATAAGATCTGCTCCTGACCACAGATGGCAGGGGTTTGCACTTCATTATCAGAGTTGAGCCTTCTAGAGTCTACACTTTTCTGTTTGTCAGTATCTGGCCTTCCTGCTATCCACAGTTGCCTCCCAGGTCTGTCTCTCCACCCAGTGCTGTGCTCTGCTGAATTTAGAGACCACAGACTATCTCAGTTTTAAGACCCTTGTTTAAAATTGAGATGGTATCTGGACACTGTCTGACAAATCATAAGTTGACAAAATGGGTGGGAATCCCCTCTATCAGTTACTTGTCTGCCAGAGGAACCCTTGTCTCACCAAAACCTGCTGGTGGATCTGAGACTCACTGTTGCAGAATATCCGTTTACACTGTGAAGATGTGCTTTTGCCAAGGCGCCTTCTGATTGGTTTAATAAAGAACTGAATGGCTAATAGCTAGGGAGAAAAGAGGTGGGACTTAAGGGGACAGAGAGGACTCTGGGAAGAAGAAAGGCAGAAACATTAGGAGACACAGAACAAACAGGATGTGCAGGAGGATAGATGATAGTCACAAGCCACATGGCAGAATGTTGATTAATAGAAATGGGTTAATTTAGATTATAAGAACTAGTTAGAAACAAGCCGAAGCTATAGGCCAAGCTTCATAGTTAATAAGAACTGCTGGGACACAGAAAGGCTCATTGTATCTCATGCCATGTCCTGAGGGCATGACTGCCTGTCTCTTGTCACCAGAACTAGCTGGCTTACCTTTTGGATGATACTTCTTCTGGGAAGCTATTCTATTCTGGCAACTTTTATGTCAACTTGACATATGCTAGAGTCATCAGAGGAAGGAGCCTCAGTTGAGAAAATGCCCCCATAAGATTGGGCTGTAAGCAAGCCTACAAGGGACATTTTATTAATTAGTGATTGACAGGGGTGGAGGAGTTTGTGGGGGGAGGGCCCAGGTCATTGTAGGAAGTGTTGTCCCTGGGATGGTTGTCCTGGGTTCTATAAGAAATTAGGCTGAGCAAGACCACCAAAGCTAAGAGAAACACAAACCTACTTTTATGTGGTAAAATGTAAACACACTCATAATTTCATTTGGCCTTCAATGGAGAAAAGGAAACCAACAAAACTATTATTTTTATTTTTATTTATTCGTAGTAACAAAAATCAAAAATTACAAAAACAAGTTAAATGAAATATGGAAGCAAACTAAATACAAATACATTTTCATAACCACAAGGGCAACAGAAATTTGTTGAAACTGTTTCCTGAAGTTTAACGATTTAGATCATAGGTATAACCAAGGAATTCAGACTGTTCACATGGACTTGTTCACAGATGGAGGAGCCTGCTTTCCCAAAACTGGCACTAGTATCCAGAGTACTGGCATATGTATATGGGAAAACTTCCCTGGGCCTGTAATCTTAGGAGACACTGCTGTTTATTAAAAACAAAAAAACAAAACCAACAACAACACAGAAAGCCCAGGGAGTTTGTAGTCCTGGACTGAAGGCTTCTGGGGGATTGTAGGAACTAAGCATGGTACAATCTTGCTTGTTGGTGCCATGCAAAGCTCTACCCAAGGCTCCCCAAACTAGTGTACTTAGCAGCTTCTCATGAATGGTTTACGCATCCCATGAATCTATGGCGGTGCAGACAATAGTGGCCTTGCTCACACAGAAGTAGCGGAACTTAAGAGGAATATGGGCTTGCCCATGGGTATTCAGTGTTACAGGGTGGGGTAGTCTTGGCTGAAAAGCACTGTTCTAAAAATGACTTGAACAGTCACTGTAGCTCTTTGCTTTGAGCAAACTGATGATATTCCTGCCCTCTCCCATCATGGCCAAGGACTAGCAAAACTTTTGATTAAGGCATGCTGCTGTGAGTTCTCCAAGGCACTTGGAGAGGGAGTTTAAATCTAGACTGCACAAGGGGTTCAAGAGTTTTTTTAATGAAATGGGACATAAAAGCTCTCAACACTCAGCAATGTGGAGTTGTCTCCTTTCAAATGAGAACAGGAGAAGCTATTTAGGAGGAATTCCACTTCTGTCCCACTTTCCATACTTGCCTATGTGGGAAAATCTCAATAATTTATCTGGAGGGTCAATAGTTTGAGTTTTGCAAATGAGACAAGGTTTTGATATTTTGTGTGTGTGTGTGTGTGTGTGTGTGTGTGTGTGTGTGATGTTAAATGCACATGAAACATGGCTGTAGGGAAGTTAAGAATCTGAGGTCCAAAGAAAGAACCGACTTGCAATCTTTTATACTGCTTTCAAATCTGTAAACTTCTGTCTTCCTCTGTATGGGGAAATCTCTGACTCTAACCAGAGACTGCACTCATGTGCACCATGTTGAGAAGGTTGGAGGTTCTCCTTCACACCCTCTTCCTGGGCAGACAGAGCCATGAAATCCTCACCCCAGGCACCTGAAAAGCTCATTTAGACCAAGGCGAAACCATGTTGTTCCTAGCTGTCTTTTCTTATTGTATGGTTTCATCTATCCTAAGGAGAAGACAGTCACAGGACCCTAGCTCCTTCTGGACCAGTTACCTAACCCACAAACTGTATCATTTATTAAATCCCAAGATGCATTCTTATCACTTTACTAAGGAAACTTGCACCCAGAATAGGATGAGACAGGCCCAGGGTTGCTCTACTGGTTAGCCACAGATCACTGTGTGTTGGCAGGCTGGGATAACCTAGGTTTCTGTCCTGTGTAAAACAAATTAACTCTCTGGATTTCAATAACTGCCTATGAAGATGCTTTGTCCTGTGGCTTCTGTCTGAGGCATCTTACACTTCTTGGTATGTAGCTGATCTTCTGGAAGCCTGGGGTGGGGTAGTGCAGCTCTGCCTTGCATCTAGTCTAGTATGTGGCAGGGTAAGGGGCTATCTATGTTACAGAAAAACTCCCAAACCCCTTTCACCTCTGAAATAGTAGGACTACTGGAAAAATAATTACAAAAGCTTAATATCTAGTCAAGAAAATGAAATACTAAAAAATGACATGTATAATGATAATAATTGAGGAATAAAATCAGCTTGCCCCAAAAAAAAAAAAAAAAAAAAAAAAAAAAAAGTCTTTTATAGAGAAATAGCACCTTTGGTTAAAAAAAAAAAAAAAAAGAAGTCTATTTTAAAATTTTGGGTTAGGTGTCTATGGCGCTTGAAGTACATAAGTATCTGCATCACTTAAACACTCTCCTAGAAAGTCCATCCACATCTGAGGGCACAGATGTGGGATGGCTGCGTATTCAGGTGATTGTTGGGACCCAGGGGAAGCAGATATGGTGCAGGTTTGTCATGCTGACAGTAGTGACAAGGGTCAAGGCAGCAGGATTCCTCTCCACAGAGCTCCCCACTCTTCCTCCAGCAGAGCCAGCTCAGCCCTCCCCCCAACATCACATGCTTTTCCAACAGCTGCTGTGACCCCTGAAAGGATTGGTTCAGACCCGGGCCTGCTCCTCTGGCAGCCTGATGCAGTTTCCTTACTTGCCTCCAGCCCCAAAGTGCCCTTGAGTTTCTCTTAAAGCATTCCTGGAAATGAGGGGAGTGGCCTCCCTCCCCCCCTGCTAGCCAGCCACCCTCATTTCCTTCATTGCAAAACAAACAAAATAATATTCATTGCCAGACAAGCAAATACTGATGGTTTGGTGATCACAGCAGATGCTCCTGTATCATGGTCTCAGCACCGAAGAGGAGGCGGCGCTGGGCTCCAGACACGGTGCTGTGCTTCTTGTTAGACCTCTTTGGTGTTTACCTTCCTGGCCTTTTCAGCTGTTTCCTTTGAGATGGAAGAGGAAATAATCATTATACAAATACAAAAAAGCTGATGGCATTTATCCAGCCCCCCCCCCAATACATATAGGATCAATAGACACATGATTTTGCTAGATTTTAGTTGTTTACTTGTACGCTCCCTCCTTGTGTGATAAACAATACAAAGCTATATCCAATTTGTGGCATAGTCATTCAGGAGCAGTTTACTGAACTAGGAGCTGACTCTATATGAACATCTTATGAAATAAGCAAAACACTTGTTGTCCCACAGTTTTAATGATAAAGGATACTAAAGGGAAAATGTTCTGAATCCATGTCCTACAAAATTGCTAAAATCAATAGGTCCCAGAGGCAGACCATCTGGGCTTGAATTTGGCTGTTCAGCTTTCCTAGTGTCCTTGGAAGTATTTTGAAATCTACATCTTAATGTTTTCAACTGTAACATGAGGGCAACACTGTACCAGCTCTTACAACAGCGCCTGACACATTCCTCTCCAAAGAAGATGTACAGATAGATAGCCAATAAGGACACACCATTAGACACTAGAGGAATGGAAATGAAAGCATAATGAGATACCACTACATGTCCAGTAGGTCAGATGAAATAGAGATTAACAGTAACAAATGTTAGCAAGGACTTGAAGAAAATGGAGACCTGTGGGGGAGAATGTACAAGGAATGGTGTTTGGGAAAAAGTTTGGCAATCAATCCCCTGGGGATTAAACATAGCATTATTTTATGACCTGAATTCTATCCGGAAATATACAGGGGGAGTGAAAACACGGTCCACACAGGAACTTGTACAGTAAAACTCACAGCAGCATCCTTCATCAGAGTCAGAAGTCACCTAAATACTCATCAACTGTTGACTACATACACAGAATGTCATATATGTAGAATGGCACTCACATAAAGAAGAATGAAGTAGACTCATGCTAAAAGCATGAACCCGAAAAGCAAAGTGCAAGAAGGCAGATAGAAAAGGAACATTCTATGTGGCATGTCCACGCCAGGCACATCTACAGCTGGAAAACAGGTTAGCACTTGCCAGGGGCAGAGGGAAAGGAAAAAAAAAAAAAAAAAAAAAAAAAGAGTTACTTCTAATGGGGGATGTTAAAACACTCTGGAATTAGACCGTGAGGAATGGCCCACAATCTTAGGAATTCTGCCTCAATTTAAAAACCAACCTTAAGAAACTGCTGACAACATTAGCTGGCATCTACTAGGCACGCTTGGTGCTCCTTGCCCAGCTGCCTTGTACTGAATGTTTTGCAGTGATCACTGGCTTTACTTCTTGTGGCCTACACCTGCATCTCCACCTCGGGGCTTTCTCTGTCTTAGAAGTCTGCTCTGCCCACACATGCCGGAGGACAGAAATGCTAAGAATCATTTCCTGGTAGCAGCTCTCAGCTGGCTATTAGAAGGCTGGGAGAGATACCCCAGACCCTCCCACCTCCAGCAACTCCTTCAGGGAATGATCTTATACCACAGTTTGGTAGTATAGGTCAGTAGCATTCTCTGGGATCTACTGTGTCAAATGAAGTATGTTTTGTTTCCCTCCTCTCCTGGGGCTCTGGACAGCTTCTGAGTGGCATTAAGAGCCTGGTAGTAACAGCGACATTTGAACCAGCACTGTGGCTGCTCACCTGGTGCTTCTGGGGTTCCTGGACATATCTGGTCATCTCCTCCTGTGTCTTGGTCTGGGCTCCCTTCTGAGTCTTTCCTGTAAGAATGATCAAAGTTCAGAGCAGTGGGGGCTGTGGTAAGCTGGAGAAGGCTCTACCTAAAGGACTGTCCACTTAACCTGTGGAGAAGAGTTGAACAGCCCACCTCTCTCTGAGCAGCTAGTCATTTAACTATCCTATCCTATCCTATCCTATCCTATCCTATCCTATCCTATCCTATCCTATCCTACCCTACCCTACCCTACCCTACCCTACCCTCTCCTCTCCTCTGGCTTCTGTTCCTGCTGTTCTCTTTACTCACAAGATGAGCTAGTCCTACTGAAAAGCAATGGCAACAACCCGAGTGCTGCTCAGGACATCCCTGGGGTAGTGCTCCTTAGTGGTTCCCACACTCTCATAATGTCCCAGAGAACATTTGCAAATGTAATTTCTGGCCTGGGTTGCAGTTTCTTGGCAGAGTGCTTGCCTGGCATGCAAGCCATGATCCCTACCCCCATGCTCAACCTCAGAACTGCAAAACAAAGAGACAAATAAAATAAACTCAAGTTGCCTGGCTTTCACCTATAGAAGTTTTGATATAATTGATTGAGATGGGAGGTATCAGGGTGAAGAGATTTTGCCTTTTGAAGGGTTCTGTACACCCAGGGTTGATAACTACAACATGTAACAAACATTTCTCAAGTATAAAGAAAAAAAATAGTAAAAAGCAAAACAAATCCCAACAAAGCAAAGCAAAGCAAAACAAAACGAAACAACAAAAACCCCAAAGAACCAAACCTACACAGATCCACAAGATGTTCTTTTTGTAGATTATACTCTAGAAGGTTTGGAAGGGTGCCTGGGAATCCATTTGCTGAACACAATACTTACCATGAGGAAACGGTAGACATTAATATCAGTCTGTCCCTCATAGCCAGCTCTCGTGGCCCTGGCCCCTTCTGGTATTATCTCAGTGCCTTGCTTGTGCCCTTGATATTTGTGATCTAAGATGACACCGCTAAGTTTTCAGACACTAGCCTGAAAATGCCTCTTCAATTTCCTCTTATGTCAGTCTCTACACCACCATGTGTTGAGGCCCCATAGACCGAACTTTCTGTAAGGAGGGCAAGCAGTCCATAGTGTGCTATGGAAACTGACAAAGTCCGTTGGGAATAGCGTGTTGTCTGATGCACTGTGATTGACTTATTGCCCAGATGTCTGAGTTTAGGGTTCCATAAGTCAGTGCGCACTCACTCATGCATCTCAGAAATGGAGGAGGGATACCTAACAAAGCGAGGACAAGAGCAGTTAGACATATGGAAGGGAGTTTGGGAGGACAAACTGGGGGTGCTTCCTGGTTGAGCCAGGCGGGGTCCCTGTTTAAAGATGCCCTCTGATGGCTTCAGTAGCTACAGTGTGTGTGTGTCTGGCTATCAGTTCCAATGTCTTCTAGAAAATTATTGTTCTAAAACAGCCTCTTTTGCTTTCTCATCTGTCCCTACCATTAGGTTGGGCATCTGTTCTCTCAAACTGAAGCAGACTTGGACCTGGAAGGTTAGCAAACCTATGGATAACACTGGCTTCCACCTGCAGTGCTGGTATTCAAGGCTCCATGGCTAGAATGCTTCTTGGGTCTTTGATTGCTGTCTCTCAGTGACCATCTTACCCAATTCTCCTGAATATAACTTTAAGTATCAACTTTTTCTTGCCTCGATTAACTTCTTAAAATATAGCCCCAGGGTCATTCCTGCAGGTAGAACTTTTAAGTCTGGTTCCAACTGACATTTCTTTTCACACTGTGTGACTTCTATTCTGGACCTGGCTTTAATACCCTTCTCTGATTTGCTTTCATCTGGCTCTTTGATTCAGCCTGACTTTGATGTACGTTCCCTCTTGATCACTGAAATCTCTGTAGCTCAGGTCTCTGATGGGACATGAGTAGTTCCAACGTACTCTTTGACCTCTACTCTGCCTCCCAAACTTCAACACCTATATGTCCCCAACCCGTCTTGGACCTGTCTCAATGGTCTTAATTTTTAACTAATTTATTTTTTACATTTTCCATTTACTTTTTTTCCTGCCTGGTATGGAAAATTAAGGTCATTTTGACTTCTGACCTCCTGACTCTTTTATATATAATATTTCCTTAAGTGTCACAAGGATTAAGTTGGTAATATACAAAGACCGTGGAAGAGCGCTGGTATACTTTTCTCACCGATCAGTCTTTTCTTTCATGATGGTTATTTTGGTCTGATATCGACAGTTGCTGGTGCTCTGGGCCACCATTCTCTCATTTGACATCCCTGGAATGATTTTCACACCTGATGCATCTGAAGAAGTGCTCCTCCCACAATGCTCCCCAGCGGGGCTGTCACTTACTTCCGATCCCTGACCTTCCTTTATCCCCTGTCACTGTCTTTCACTCAAGTCAAGCTCTGCTCCCCCCCTTCCGCCCTAAGTGTGGCTCACCATCGCAGGTCATTGCAGTGCAGACCCAGTGTCCACAAGAACAGACACAGCGATTGCAGTCTACCTCGGTCTCAGCTCCATCTGCATAAGTTTCGTCCTCCAGGGCACACTCTGTTGGATCATACATAAAGGCAACAGTTGGGACATAAGTAGAACAGGGTGGTGTCTTCAGTACAGTCTGAGCACCTACGTGTCCCCCTTCCCAGACAAGGGCTGCCTTGTCTCTCATGGTCAAATGCTCCATAAGCTCATGGCCTTAACTCCACCATGATGGGCTGATGACAGCCCAGTACCATGGGTAGGGGCTAGTTCAGTATCTTTGGAGAATTCTACCAGTTATTTCTGGCTTGCACCTCCCTTTCCCTGTGACCCTCCCATCCTCAACAACACTCAGTGTCTAGACTAGGCATACTCTTCTCAGGAGGGTTGAAGGATGGGTTGAGACACTTGAGGAACTCCTGGAAGTTGAGTTTCCAGTCGGCATTCTCATCAGACAGTTCAATGAGAGCATCAACACAGAGCCCTCTGAAAGAAAGCACAAGAGAACGCCATCAGCGAGGCGGCGGCTTCTTCCCTACAAAAGGAAAGAAGCACAAGGCTCACAGACACCTGGGGCCTCAGGCAAGATGACTGTTGAGGGAAAAGACTTCTTTCCTCTTTGGCCTGTCACACCATTACCCAGTAACTCCTGTGAACATCTAACCTCCAGCTGTTAGACTGGATATCACATCCCATAGGCTGTTCAGATGTTCCCCCATAAAGCTTTATGAACAGTTAGTTTTACCCACCTTGATTAACCAATGCTCTCATTATTTGCATACCTTTGTCTAGATTGCCTTTTCCTGTGGTATGACTTGTCAAGTCAACCAGTCCAGAAAAACAAAACAAAACCAAAAAACAAAGCAGGAGATGATAGATGACATGAAAAGGAATATAGGACTTGAAAAAAATATTAAATTCAATCAAGCATCACCACCATCACCATTCTAAAAAGGTCTTTTAGAAGTTTTGTAGAACCTTGGCTTCATCACTTCCTCTGTTCAATAAGACTTGGGCCCTGGCTCAGCTACTTCATACCCAAACATTCATGAGCTATTATTCAGTCTTTCTGAGTTTATTTTCTTACTTCTATAGGTAGGGGGGAAAGTCTCTCCCTCACTGGGATGTTTTGAGGATCAAACATCGAAATGATCAAATTGCCTAAATCCAGGTTACCAAAAAATGAGTGGCTATTCCTTAAGGTCCAGACTCACAGAAGCTGCCCTTTGAATTTGTTTTGAACAAAAGAGAGGCAACGATCTCATGTTTAATTCTTCCTGATGTACTAGTACCAAGCCAGAAGGTTCTTTGTTTATTAATATTTATTCTAAGATGATACTAAAAGAAGGACATATGCTTCTAACAGTTAGGGAACTCTACATGAAATAGCACTGGTCATCTCAAACACCAGGAGTGAAATGATTTTAGGTTTACCACTAGAGAATACATGAATACAGTTCCATCAGAAGATCAATGACAGAACATCACTTTGCCATACTCAGAAGCATAGTGGGTGTGGCATGACCTTGATAACTTATTCTAAAATTACAGTCTTTTCCCCTTGCAAGTTCTGGCCCCAAACAATAGCCTCTTGCTCAGGCACCAGTGTTGACATCCCAGTTTTATAATGTTCAGAGCACAGATGGGAGCAGAGACCCCACTTCTCTATCTCTTTCACATCGGCACTGGACGCTCCTCGGGTTCAAACCCCTCTCTCAGGAAAACTTCCCTGGGGACCGTATGGCCAGGCCCTCACTCCCCACCTGAGCAGTTTGTTGTTCTCCTGGTCAGCGTAAGTGGTGATGTTGATGGCTGTTTCGTTCTGCTCCACGAATTTCAGGAATTCACTGGAGTCCAGGTGAGAGTCACCATTATCAAAGTTCTAGAAGAGATGAAGAGATCTCTCAGGATCTGGCCTGACCCCTCATCAGTTCATCTTATTCTTAATACACCCCAACCCTGTCCTCGCCTGGCCACAAGGAGCTTCTCAGATCAATCCAAGATGAGCAAGTGTCTAAACAGAACCATTAGGGGTTTCTTTCAGTATGGATCCTGCTCAGGAGGGCAGCTGAACAGATGTCTGCATTACTTAAGAATACTCTGTGAATTAATAAATAAATAAAAAAAAGAATACCTGTGACCCACTCCCTGACACAGTCCCACAGGCCCCAATTCAGACATTGATAGCATCACTGTCTCACACCCTAGTGAACTCATAACAAGCTAGGGCATTGTAAGCATACATTACACTCTGGGACGTGGAGTCCTGGGTGTATGACTCTAGCAGGTTGCTAAGGGGAAGCAGCAGTGTAAATAATCTTCCAGGCTCCCCTTGGGACCCACAGAAGTCTACCTTGCTGTTTAAGGCCAGCCTGCCTCCTCCTCAGCCCTACACCGCAATGTCAGCACGTATGTGCACACAGATCCTTGGGCTACACTGTGCAGGCTGATGACATGTGACACCCCAGGAACACAACTGAACAAGGAATGGTGAGGTCAGGCATCATTCCCCCCAAATTGACATGCTAAAACAAGACCTCCGCCATCTGGAGCCATTCAACATGCCTATTCCCTAGCAACAGGAGGGAGCATCGACTGGAGGGTTTAGATCAAATTCCGTGTTGGGTGCTGCTGCTATCCTAACCAGCCCTAGGGGGACCCCTTCACTCCCCACACTTTCCTTAGGCTGCACTGGGAACCAATCAGCATCTCTATGCTATTTTTAAGTTGGTTCCTTACACTGTAAAAAATAGAGTCTGGAAGAAATGTCTGCTTAACTCCTGGGCAGGGAGCAAAACGTAGCCAATTGTTCTCTCCTGGTTGCTATGTGCCACATGTAAAATGTCCATGGCATGTACAGTGAGAGGAACACAAGAGACAATCATTATGCCTTTGCTTAGAACCTGTTTGTCAGTCTTATCCACTGCACACCTGCCCTGAGGATCTCCCCATAATCCACTTGTGAGGTTTTGACTAATTAAAGATGCACAAGTCAATAAGCTAGATCAGGGAAGGGGCATTCTGAGGACCACAGAACTTTCCTGAGTACAACTACAGCAAACCCTGTCCCCTGTCTGGTGACGAGAGTGAATGTAGGGGAAGCAACGGTCCTGCGGTAGGTGCCCAGCCACTGACTAGGCATCTGGAGCCGCTACTACAGTCCAGTTGGCTCTCACAAGTCCGTACTTTGTGTGCACACTTCATCTATTGGGGAACCAGATCACAGGCCTGAAACAAAGCGGACATCCCAGTTCTTGCCAATCTCATCTCATCTCATCCACCTGGTGCCCAGAAACAGCATTAAACCCAGTAGCACCTCAATCTCTGGCCAAATCTAGCATACTTCACTCAGCTAACCCACTGCTAAGGCTGGATACCTCTGCAAGCCTGTCTGTAGCTGTTTCTGAGACAGTAACATTTTTCTCTTTTGATTGTATGATGGGAGACAGGGAGGGAATGTTTTGAGACCTGTGCTAGGGAATCATACTTGTATGTTGACACAGTGTTCAGAGGAGATGGGCTGAGCCACGCATTCACTCACATAAAGCAGCTGAGGAACTGGGGTATATCATGCTAGGGTCAGGGAGGTAAGAAGGCTGGCTTCAGTTTCAGCCCCATCCTCTAAGAGACTCCCGTCTAGTGACATAGGTATGGACAGCATGGGTATGAAAGATTCTCCCTACCAGGTTCTCCTTTTGTTCTGTTTTGAATTCATCAAAGAAACGGTTACTGGACCATTTGGAGGGGAGAGGTAGTGTGAGCTTTACTTGAATTCTGATTAGATTTGCCATCCAGCTAGCTAGTGTGAGGAAAGCCAGCTGGGCTGGATGACAAGGCTCTGCCACAGAGGTCTGAGACATCAGATCTTTGACCTACAGGCAGCTGTGGACCTGGAGGGATGGCATCTCCTGCTGCAGATGTCTTGGAGGAGGAGCTTTGTGTCTGTAATCTGTGAGCAAGCTTTCTGAGATGGGAGAATGCTCCAGAGAAAAGATGTTTTCCCAAGTGGCTATGCTTTTTTTCCCCCCTAGAAGCCGGTAAGAGTGTTATTGCCTGGGGACATGGAGATATGTTGAATGGCATCATGGCCTGGGTACTTGGCAATCAAATTTAATAGCAGGTATCAGAAGTGCCCGAGGCCAGTTTCCATCTACAAATGGTTACAAGATCCCAAGAGACCTCTTGGAATTAGTGTTCTAAAGCCCAACAGCTCCATGCTCTAAGGACAGGACAGAACGAATGCTTACAATGAACCTTACAGACACTATTCATTTGGCTTTGGGAAAAGTAATTTTCTTTAAAAGCATTAAAATCACATCTATCTATCGTGTGTGTACATAGGAGTGTCATGACATAACATTTGTGTGGAAGTCAAAGGACAGTTTGCAAGAGTGGGTCCTGAGTGTCAGCCTTGGCAGCCAGACAGGCCTGAGTCATTTTATGTCTCTTTCTGCTCCTGTACAGTTCTTCTGCTCAGCAAAGTGATGCAGTTTGCTATAGAAAAGGAATTGCCCATGTCTTCAGGGCTCTGTCATGTGGGAATGGCTAGGACACTGCCCAGTAGGAAGAGCGATGCTCTCTCTCCAGTGTAAGATGAAAACTAGGAATCCATAGTTTAAATCTCTGACTTAGTGGAGAAAACTTCTATCTAATAAGACTAATACAGGAGGAGATGCCTTAAACAATCAGATATCCATTTCAAACCAATCCAGAATTTCTTCATCTATGTCCATAATGCCATCTAAAGAATCCACAGACTAGGATGGTGTGAAAGGTGTTTGGGTGGCTTGAGAGCTTCCAGGAAGTCCCTTGCTTGTGTGGCTGGCTAGTTGTGGGGATAGCAGGCTTGTGAGCTCTCACTAGAGTAAGTGTCCAAGGCACTGACCTTAACATGTGCATCCTGAAGGGCAGGGGCTTGGTGCTTCTGTGTGAATGCAGTTCCTGAATGTGTGGCTGAGTGTAAGAAGTGTCTGTGATGGATGTGTGTGGTTTGTGTGTCTGGAATATTGTAGGTGTGTCTCTGTGTTCTTGTCAGTTAGCTAGTAGAGTGCCCTTAACCACTTCTTCCAATGGGTCTCAGGGCTCCTGAATGATCTCCCATACCCAAGCCAACAATTTATTTCCTCACTCATTTGCCCTTCAAAAGCAGTATCTTTCTGGGTCTCCCGATGGAACTCTGTCTCTTCTATTAACATGGTGTACAGCAGCACTACTTGGATTCTGGAACAATCTCCAGACCCACAAGTTCCCTGACTCTTCTCACATGAAGAAGATGTGAATGGTCAAGTTAGTGACGTGGAGAAATGGGTGGCAAGCTGTGTGTGTGGGGAAAGATGCTGAAGTGGGTGTGGTATACCAGAAGGTGCTCTGTACCAGCTTCCAAAGTGTTCCACAGGGAAGCAGAGAGCCTGGCCACTTTTCCCATGGCAGCTCCTGGAGACCCTGGTGGTTTTAAATGTTCATAGGGGTGTTGGACAGGCATGTTGGATCCCAGAAGTCAACTTCTGGCTCCTTGCTGGTCAAGCAGGCTGCAGCTTTCACAGCTCCATAATATAACTGGTGATGTAGGCACACTCAGGGACTCTAAGGAACTCTGTATCTCCTGATAGTCACAAAGGGGGAAGAGGGGAGTTCTCTTTCTCCAGGACTGAACACTGTTGACCTCGACTCTGATTACCTTAAAGTACTTGTCCAGGATCTCACTGTAGTTGCTGCCTTTGGAGAACCAGCCATCTGGAATGATCTCAGCTTCCAGCCACTGGATGATGCGACGCCGGAGCTCATCGCGGTTAGCTTGATAGCAGACAACTACGGGGTGAGGGTGGGGTGGGGGGAATGTGTGAGGTGGGTGTGGGGAAGAGAACCAGGGTCATCCGCTGTCCAGAGCCCAGTGTCCCTCTCAGTTCTGTGTGTCATCCTATTCAGTCTTCACAGCACCCAGGCAGGCAGGATTATCGTACCCAGAGTACAGAAATGTGTCTACCCCAGGAGTCACGCTCACATATGTAAAACACCCATAAAGATTAGGACACTGGTTCTCAACCTGTGGATCTCAACCCCCTTTGGGGGTTGCATATCAGATATCCTGCATCCTGCATATTAGATACTTACATTATGATATATTTTGCTATATAATAGTAGCAAAATTACAATTATGAAGCAGCAACAAAATTAATTTTATGGTTGGGGGTCACATGAAGAACTGTATTAAAGGGACATGGAATTAGGAAGGTTGAGAAACCCTGGACTAGAAACTTGAAACAGTGGTCAAACAGAGTTGTTATTTAAGAAAAAATAAGGAAGAAAAAGTGAAGGATGCTTTCACGAATGTTTAGGGGCAAGGGAGAAAAAAAAGGTCATCCACTGAAGCAACTCTCCTGGTCCTGAGATGCGCTTAAAGTACTAACAAACCAATAAATGAAAACACTAGTTATGCATGCTGCTGGACTGCTGGAATTCTACATCTCTCACCAACTGAGCCTTTCAAAATTCTCTCCCATCATTCTTTATTATAAACAATAGAAAACAAAGCCAAGGAAGGGCTATGTCTTAGCCCTTCTCTGGGCAACTGTGACAAGTGCGAGTCATGTGGGTAGACAAGCTACGAGGAGACAGCTCTGGCCAAAGGAAATTCTTGGAAGACAACATATGCTAGGTCATGAGGAGGCGCAGGGCCAGGGAATGAACATATGGGCACTTCCCACCCTTCCTTCCTAGCTGTGTGGTTTAGGGGAACTGATTCAGTCCTATGGGCCTTTATACTTTAAGGTAATTACAGCAAGGTCTGCAAGGTTACCATGAGGTCTGGGCCTATAAACCACACTGCGATTTCAATAGGTTTTAATAGCAAGCTACAGCAATCTCCATATTGGCATTTCCAATTGTCCTCTGACAAAAAGAGTCCTGTCTTCTGGTTTCACTGGGTCCATGACATTAGTGTGTCTTTTTATTTGTTTGTTTATTTATTTATTACTTTGAAACAAGGTTATTTTACATGTCAATCCCAGTTCACTCACACTCCCATCCTCCCCTTCACTCCCACCAAACCCCAGCCCATCCCCTTCCTGCTCCCCAGGGAGGGTGAGGCCTTCTATGGGGAGTCTTCAAAGTCTGAGCATGTCTTACAAGGCCCTGAAGGTCTTGCTGGCTGTCTCTCTAAAGGGCATTTACCATTCAGCAAAAATGCAGAAGATCCAATATTTAGACCCAAACAGCTGCTTTGACCGGCAGACACCAAAACAAACATTTTTACAACACAGTCTCATGGTTTTACTGAGCTGTATTGCCCTCAGACCAGATCTGGATCAAAAGTTCTGATCCCATGTGATCCTGGCAGCTCAGCGGGGGACTGTGGAAGACAAGATGCTTCCTCCGTGATAAGTCTCCTCCCTATGATACACACACACACTGTGGAAATGTCAGGTACTTACTTGGGCTGGCAGATGGACTCACAGACTTCTTTTCTGCAAGACAATAGGAGATGTGTAATGCCAAGTGAAGAATAAAAGAAAATGTCGATGGTTTTAGGATTAAAACTGTGAACTTGCAACTTTGTCATCATTTTGCATTAATACTTTTTTTTTTAAAAAAATTAAGATTTGTTAATTTCTATACTAGATGTCTGTGCACTATTTGCAAGTCAGAAGAGGGCATCAGATCCTCTGGAACTGGAGTTACAGATGGCTGCTAGCTTCTATGTGGGCATTGGGAACTGAACACAGGTCCTCTGGAAGTGCAGCCAGTGCTCTCGACCACTGAGCCAACTCTCTAGCTCATGCCTTCAATTCTTCTATCCTTTTCATTCTTATAAGGTCTAAGGATGGGGATCCTTCCTGCCTGCGGACAATGGACCACCCTTCTAGATTTATATTTCATCCTGCAGTGTTGAGCAGTCCCTGGGATTTCAAAACTCCATATAGAGATTAATTCTGCACAAAGGTTGGAGAGGAGACTGGTATCTGGGATAAAGCTTTGTGTTTTCCCAGGGAAAGTCAAAGATGGAATTGCTGGGCAAACTCTAGTCATAGAAAGGTCTGGTGACTGGCAATCATGCTTGGGAGTCCATCTTTCCAACTGATCACAATGACAAGAGTGAAAATAAAGAAAGCATATTACAAGGGTGAGAAATGCCCAAAATTTAAAAGCAGGAAAAGGAGAAACTGACCCATGTTTTCAAAAAGGTGTGGAAATCCCTTAAGGGCCTTTTTACCATTGTTGATTATCGGTGCAGTGACCTTATTTACTCTTCAGCTGCAGGTGATGCTGAGAGCAGGCCCAGGTCAGATGCAGGGAGCACAGGACAAAGTCAGCCAGGTCAAACCTAGGAGGCTTCTGAATGTTAGGAAGGAGCATCTCTAAATGGTTGTGTGATCAGCAGGCCACCCTGCTATGGTATCTGTGTCTGTCTCCCTGTCACAAGACCTGCCATTCAGAGATGGCAGCATGCCTTACCTTTGCAGTGTCCATCATAATCAACCTGGATCTTGGATCCAGTGAGGCAGGCATCTCTATGAAGTTCACAATGGTTGATGTAGGTCTTGCCATTACTGCCACACACAGGTCTCTTGTGAGGTTTGCATTGCTGAAACAGATGGGCAGGAGGATGCTTGTGTAGCATGCAGGCTAGAACATGTACTCATAGCCATTTTGTCAGGTGACTCACCACCAACAGAGATGGAGCATGTATATATCACCAGGGCTCAGGGAACCTCAGCTCTGGTCATCATCAGTGACTCTGCTTTACTTGATACGGAAGATCTACCTCAAGTTCTCCTTGCCTCTCTGTTTATCCTGGTTCAATGTCAACTTTCAAGTACACAAACACCCTCCTGTGGCTGAAATATTTGCACTGCATGTATCCCCAATGCAATTCGTCTATTTCTGTTTTCCTAACAAAACGCCTGAGCTGGGCTCTTTCCAAATCATAGAAGTATACTTCTCATAATGTTGGAGGCTGTGACATGCACGATCAAAACAAATTCATTTAATGTCTGGTGAGAGCCTGGTCTCTACTTGTAAAGGAACCCTCAAACATGGTGTTTTTACATGGCCAAATGCTGTGTGAAACCCCTTTGTAAAGGCCTTAATTGATTCATAAGGAAAGGTCCCTGGTGACTTCATTTATCACCTCTCAAAAAAATGGCTTCAATGTAAGGACACACACACACACACACACACACACACACACACACACACACACTCACTCACTCAATTCTTCTAGGGCCAAATTACAAGGATTCCATGTTCTCCATGCAGCTTTTGTCCTAATTTCACAACCACTGTTGTAAGGCTGACAGGAAATCATTATGGACAGAGATATGGAATAAAGTTCATCTGGTTTGTAGGTGGACTAGAGCTATTAGAGATATGAAGACAAAAGACAGATGTTAACCAGAGTCCTGGGCCAGGATGGGCATCTAACCCCTCCATTTTATACAGGAAGATACCCAAGCAAAGAAAGGAAAACTTCATTTATTCACTCAGTCAACATTTACTGTGGAGTGCTTGCTATGTTTTGGGCGCTGAACAAAACCAACATGGGCTCGTCTTTACAGCAACTCCTGGGAATTTGTTTGCTCAAAATCACACAATTATCTGTGGACAAGCTGAGACTATTTCCAGAGTCTAATTCTTGCTACCACATGGTGGTTAGTATCCTTCCAGCACAGGCTGCCAGGGTGAAGAGATCCTAGTGGGATCAGGTTTTAGGTTTCAAGTTGGTACACTTTCCCTTCAGATGCAATGAATCAGGGTCTGGAGACTTAAAGGGTATTATTATTTACAGAAAAGCCCATTTCCTGGGTACAGAGCAGCTTGACAGAAGGGAAAATAAAAAAGAAAGCCCATGGTCAGGGTTACTTACTTTCACATGCAGAATGAAAATTTATTAAAGTCTTGCCTATTTCCTAAAGGCTCATTTTGCCTTTTAAATGCCATTTCAAGACAAAACTTCAAAGCCCACATTCTGCCTGATGATTTAAAAATTTGCATATCCTTTGACCCAGGAGGCCCCCAGTGGCCATCAATTTTGAGAAATAAAAGATATTGGCTAAAGGATGCTATTGTTGTGTTGGTAAACAACCCAGAGAACTACTTAAAAATCCATCTCTAAGGAAACGAATGAATACATTTACATCACTAAATATTATTCAGCGGTTTCAAAACGCTAAAATCTGTGTCGGTCTGGGAGGCTGCCACAGCACACCAAAGACTGCATAGACCCATGTGTGGAAATAGTATTTTAAAATTTAGTATTTATAAAATAGGGGAAACTCTGCTGTTTAGAAAAGTTGTTAATGCCATTACCTCAGACTAATCAGAACTGAGAATTCTTTGGTAGTACAAATGTCTAAATACTAAGACTGTTTGACACATAAAATAACTGGTAATGTTTTAAGTTCAAGAAAAATTTTAAAGTTCAAAACCATACTTAATTTCATGTCTAGCAATACAGTTTCCAATAAAATAACACTGCAATGGGTAGCTTGGTAAAATTTTAAACTAAAGGAAAAAGGAACAATTTTTACTTTTACAGAGCCTCTCCTCAGATCATTTTTTTAAAGTCACTTTTTCAAAGTAGGTCAATGTGACAAATGTACTTGTGACTAGTCATGGCTACTTTCTGCTACAGTGGTCAGTAGAATTAGGGAACTCGATTTCACAACCATTGCCTCAAAGGACTGACACACATTAGATTCTTAGGGAAAGCTAAACAGTTCTTGCTACTTCAGACCCAGAAAGTTGAACTCCAGCATCCAGCATAAAAAAACAAACCCAAACCGCAAAAGACAAAAACTCTGACCGATCCGAAGCTAGACACAAATTTTCGTGTATGCCTCTTTCGTGATTCATGCATACTTTTGCCGACATTCCACCCTTCCTTGCTTATTATGGAGGAGGTCTAACTACACTCCCAATCTCATTTTTACCTTTTAGACTACACCACCCTAATACAGTATATAGTGGTCTGGAATCCACATGAGAAAGAACCTGAATTTTGTCTTTCTTTCTGAGTTTGAGTCATTCCACTTAATATCACACTTTCCAGGTCCATCTATTTTCCTACAGATGGCATTTTTCTTTATAGCTGAATAATATTTCATTGTGTATATGGATCACATTTCATCATCTGTTCATATGCTGGTGAACATCTAAACTGGTCCAATTTCCTTGCTATTATATAAATGTGTGTGGGGGGGGGCATATGTGCACACGCGCTTGCGTGTGAGCCTGAGTGCACATGCACATGAGTATAATGACTAGAGGTCTATACTGGCTACTGTCCTTGGTTGTTCTCTGTATAATTTTCTGAGATAGAGTTCTTCTTACTACATCTGGAGCTCATGAAATGGCTGGCCAATGAACTCCATGGATTTGCTTCTCTTCTGCCATGCTAGGGTGACAGACTTCTGCTGCCACACCAGGCATCTATGTGGATCCTGAGTCTCTGAATACAGCAAGCATGTTTCCTACTGAGCTGGCTCTCTAGCCTCCTTAAACATTTTAAAAAAAAATAAATGAAAAGCAATCTCTTTTAAAATTTAATTTAAAAATCAGGAATTTCACTCTTAACCCTAGGGGAAGCCTTCCTTATGTCTTTGGGATACACAAGCTGTGTGTTTATAGAAATGACAGGATCCCTGGAACTTTCCATAGTCACTGCCCTCCATGCCTGCCACCCGAACCTACCTCAATGCAGAGGCATGTGGGCTCCCCCTTCTCTGTGACTGCACACTCCCGGCCAGCTCCACAAAACACATTGGCACAGATCTTGGATTTGCTCCTTTGTTCTTCCTAAAACACAAATCACAAAGAAAGCCATGTTACGGGATACAAGCCCACCACAGGATGAAAGGACAGAGGTAATGACCGAGGCTTGAGACTTTGGTCTGCTTAAAGGTGTCTTCCAATATGGGCACCAAACTCACATGCACTGTTCTGGCTCAGGTTTGGGAACCCCAGATGGTTCACCTAAGAGCAATGCAAGAATGGCTTTCCTGCATTCTTCCTCACCAAAAAAAAAAAGCATTGAGCATCTGTGTTGTGTTAAAGCTAGCACTGTGCTAAGGGCTGAGATACAAAGGGCAGTCTTTGACCTAATGAACTCTGTGGCTCCCAGGGAGTAAGTATTTAGAACACATTTGTGGGCATGCAACAGTGAGAGCTCCAGGAGGAGGTATGTATGAGGAAATCAGGTGAGACTCTGAAGGTTCCACGCCCTTAACTGATTCTTTAAGGTGGAGAAGACTAAGCCAGGAGGAATTACAAACACTGGAGACACATCTAGACATCGTAACACCGAGAGGAGTTCACAGCAATGCCATTCCGAAGGGCAGGAGAAGGGTGCTAAAATGTGGATGTGCTATTGTCTGATATTCAGCCACTGTGTGTGTTCAGGCTACAAGAGGACAAGGACCAAACCGCCCCAAAGAGAGTAGCCTAGCCCGAAAGCCTCTTGCTGGTCAGGATTCCTGCTCAGACAGACATAACAGAGCAGCAGGGAAATGAAGCTCTGTAGGCCACACAAAATGTGGGCTTTGGCAGGCACCAGCTTGTAGGTGGCACATTATTTAAGCCCTTTCCCTGGTGGTAGAGGGCCAGCCCCACCCCTCTCACCACTCAGCCCTGCAGCAGTGTGGATAAACAGAGAACGGGATTCCTCCAGGCCCTGTCCTCATCTAGGCTGAGCAGGCTGAGCTCTCCAAGTTTCCAGGCCTGGTGCTGGCTACAAAACAACAAAGGGAAGAAGCCTAGGGATGACTGGGATAAAAGCAAAGTTCATGCTTCTAGCCCATGCCTACCATGTCGTCTAAAGAACTCATACCCACAATAACAGAATATTTCTTAAACGGGAAACCAAGAACAGGCCAAAACCAAATCAAACCAAACCAAAAACCGAAGTATAAAAAAAGTTGAGGTGTGAGATCCTTGAGACGGGTCCAAAATAGCTGCTCTGCTGCCACCTGGAGGCTACTTTGCAAACTTCAGGTTTTCTTTTCCTCCCATAAGTTACTTTGCCTGCCATGCGGGGCTAGCATTGTCTAGAACTCATTTGCATTTCCACATCTCATAGGTTTACATACTGTTGCTAAACCTTTTCTTTCCCCTTAAATGTTGCTAAGGAGAATTCAAAACCGCTGGCACACAGCGAAGCCAAGATGAAGCAATCCTCAGAATCGATTTAGATCTCTGTCTCAGAAACTGGGGTGGGGGAATAGTCAGCAAACTCCCCAGACAGACAGGGCCCTCCCTCTTGTGGGAGCTGTACCTCAGAGGACAAAGCAAAGCTGGAAGGAAAGAGAAAAAGTAATTGCTGATTGCTGTAAATAACTCGGGCGGCCTCTTCCCTTCCCTGAACACTTTAACCCGTGGGCCATCAAATGAGCAAGAGATGCACAAATGCACACAAGTGAGCATGGGCATGTCTGCACTCACAAGGCACCCCCACCCCATGTCCCTAATTAGTCCCTTTGATCCCTCAAGCCATGCATTTCCTCATCTATGGAATAAGACTAAATAGATAATCCAAAAAAAGTGTGATGAATGGGAATAGCTTGCAGGCTGCTTGCAGAAGAGTCTGCTGTGTTTAGAGCATTTGGTCTCATGTGTGTGTTTATGTATTAATTTGTGTTGGGGAGGGGTGCCCCTGGCAGGGTATGTGTGGAAGTCAGAGGACAACTTGTGGGAGTGGCGTCTCTCTTCCCATCAGGTGAGTTCCAGGGATCGAACTCAGGTTGTCAGTCTTGTCTGCAAGTGCCTTTACCCACCCCTTTTTTTGGTAAATGCTACAAATAAAAGCTATCTGTGAAGGCTGAATTCAACTCAAGTCCTTGCAGAAAGTGAAGGCTGAATTCAACTCAAGTCCTTGCAGAAAGTAGTAGTTCTCAAAAATATATCTGGAGAAGCATACCTTTTTCTTACACCCTAAGAACTAATGTTTGAAGAGTGCAACTAAAACTTGCAAACGTTTCCATACATACGATTTCACCTTACTGCATGGCTAACCCAACAAGAACATGTATATTAATAAGCTCCATTTTACAAATGAAACGGAGGCTCCAAAAGTCAAATAATTTGCCTAAGCCCCCCCCCCCCAAGCCTGTATTCAGCTCACAGGTGACTAAGCACCCATTCATAAACACCAGACATCCTGCAGAATGACTTACTACTTACCTACTCTAAGTCCCTAATTCTGATGTCATAGTATCCCCATCTTTCAGGTGAGGAAGCTGATCTTAGAGGCCCAGTACAAAAAGACAGAGTTGGCTCCTCCTCCAACCACAGGGAAGCAATTCTTCTGTATTTGGCTTATTTTTAAGTCCACGTGACTTATGGTTAGAGAAATTATGGCGGGGATATGGGTGATACAATAGGAGGCGGAAGCAGGCAGTACTGAGTGTATGAGGCATTGAGATCTGATACTGACTCTCATATCCAACCCTCTTCCATGTCTGCAACAGCCACCATCACGCGAAAGGGAGTCTCTTGAAATGTTATTCCTCGGGTGCAAATATGAAAAATTGATGGTTAGAATTGTGCTGAGGATTAAATGGGACATGCTGTGTGCTATACAACAGGAAGTGGCTGTCACGACAGTGGGTGGTTTATTATCAGTTTTCCACTGAATTGCTGTCACTGTCACCTTGGACTGTCAAGTCCCCATCCTTCCCGGTCCTCTCTGGTGGAAAGCGTGGAGATGGGGGAGCTGCTAGTTACACAAGCATTCTCTTTGCAGGTGACATGTCTGTCAATAGGTGGCAATCTCTCTCTTTGTCTCACAGCGCCCAGAGCCGCAATGCGGAAGAGCCTTCCTGGCTGCTGCAGCTCTACCCAGCTGTCCTCCCAGTGAGAAGTACAGGAACGTGACAGTGACAGGGGCTGTCTATCCTGGGGCACTCAATGCCCTTCCTCTCCTCGCTCACGGGTATACTTGACTACAGAAATCAAGGTCAACAACGAAGGGCATTTTCTCTAGAGGAGTGTGGTCTCTTTGTGCCACTCATCTTTGGGAGTCAAAGGGTCAGAGCCGACCCCAAGGCTCCTGGAAAGTTGCTTGGGGACATAGGTAACTTTTGGCAGAGCAGCTGGTTTATAACAGTAACCTAGTCAGGGGTTGCAAAGGCCTGACGCCAGGGGCTGGAGGACTGAGTGTGGAGGCTAACTCAGCACCTGCAGCTGAGCGAGGCTCTGCAGACACCTGTCCCCATTGTCTCTGTTTGTGTGTCTTGCATTTTCAGTTGCATGTAACAGATGCAGGGGTGTTTGAGATTCAGAAAAGCTCCATGGTCCACCAGTGGCAGGTAATTCAGGAAAGGAACACAAGTTGATCTGGTCCCAGAGTCTCTGTGTTCCTTCTCCAGTAAGGCTGAGGGAGGGTGCTGAGGGCAAACGGGGCTGGTTTCTAGGCCTGGTAGAAACAGTTCTTGCAAATGAAGTAGAAATGAAATGAAGTAGAAATGTGTGCACTACCATCAATCATAGTGATTTCAGAGATTGTTAACCACACTGGCTTATTCAGGGTCTAAAGTGTGAACAGACACACAGATCTGAATGTACTCATGAGTGTGATGGACTAGGTGTGAGTAGAGGTATATTCATGAAGCATGAACACCAACATATAGGTTTAAAAATCAACAAAACATCTGGGCATGAAGGTACATGCCCATAATCCCAGCACCTGGGAGGCTGAGGCAGGGAGACATTGAGGTTTCTTGTGGGATACATAACAAGATTCTCTTCAAAACAGCAAGTAAACCCCAAACTACAAAACAAAACAACCCCCCTGAGCAGCAACAACAACAATAATAATCCCAACAAAATATCTGCCTCTGACTTAGTTAGGGTTGGTTACTATTGCTGTGATGAAACTCCGTGACCAAATGCAACTTAGAGAGGAAAGAGTTAAATTGACATCACAAACTCAAGCAGGGCAGGAGCCTGGAGGCAGGATGCAGAGGCTATGGAGGGATGCTGCTTACTGACTTGCTCTTCATGGCTTGCTCAGCCTGCTTTCTTATAGAACCCAGGGCTACCGGCTCAGGGGTGGTCCCACCCACAATGAGCTGCCAGCTCTCACATCAATCACTAATCAAGAAAACACCCTACAGCTTGCCTACAGCCTGATCTATGGTTTCTTAAAGAGGTTCCTTCCTCTCAGACGACCTCAGCTTGTGACAAGTTGACATGAACAGCCTCCAAATGGAAAAACAATCAGAAGTTCTGGTTCGTTCCTTTTACTCCTGCCTTGTCTCCATGGTGTTTTCTGGATGTGAGTGGCAAGCTAGACTCTGCAGAGTTAGTCTCATGGCTAATTTTCACACTACAAATTCCTCTTGGCAAACGAATGCCCCACAGTTCTGCCTTTTACCAGATGAAAACTTTCTCTGTCAGCTCTTGCATGTTAATGCTTCAGTGTGCTTACACAGTGAGTTTCAAATCAATTTAAACTTAAAATTTTTTATTTATGCATTTGTGTGTGCGTGCATCCTATGTGAGGATATGCTGTGGATGCCCAAGGATGCCAGAAGAAGCCCTGCGGCTTGCATCAGTTATAGGGCCATGAACTAGCAAATATGGGTGTTGGGAACTGAACTTTGGTCCTCTGGAAGGGCAACAAGTGCCCGTAAGTACCACTTGGCAATTTTGGTAGGTTATCTTCCTATCTTTTTTTTGGCTCTCTAGAAGGAGCTTTACTCTGGACTCTTCCAGAATTGAGATCCTGGCATGATGACTGCCCTCAGAGGACACTATACACTGGGCCTGGCCTCCAGCTTTCAACTCCAGCCTCTTTCCAA